GTTACTGAACCCTGTGTGTTCACGTCTTCAACACACTTATGAGTGGAAGCATAGTGGTACCAGCTTTTTCCAGGAATCAGAATATCATCATGAGGTACACGCTTATAACCACATTCACCTTTGGTTTGAAAAAGAATAAAATTTAAATCAAATTTCAATATTAGTTGTTAGAAAATGATGGCAAAGTATTTATAATAATATTATTCACCTTTAGCCTCTGCAAAGACAAGCACAGCCAACAAAATGGTTAATACAAGGCAACAGAATTTCATTTCGTTTAATCTTAGTGACGTTACGTCACTAGAACTGATCATATGGCCATACTTGAAAACGTTTTTATAGGAGAATTTCGTCAATATTCATGACGAAATTTGACCTTTTGTGGATGCTGCTTTTCTTTGTCTAAATTTTGTTTTGTGTTGCAATTTCATCATTCCATGTTCTTGAACCTGTTTTCCAGACATCCATGTATAATAGAATTCCTGATAGAAATGTAATAGTTTTTGATTTAAATATCGACAAAATCAATAGAAATCGCTGTTCATCAAATTACTAACATTAACGGTTTGAATAATTTTTAGTTTAATTTTTTTTTTTGTCAAAACACAAACTGCTTTGGTTTATGTACTTAGAATTCGTGTCGTTTTGTTTTCTTTATTCATGAAAAAACTGACGGAATATAAATTTTATTTTATCCACAAATATGAATATGAATATGAAATGTACAAATTTGAATTGACTTTTATTAGTTTTGATGACCTGTCATGAAGCCAATGGCAACCATTCCACACCAAATCAGTCAAGAATTGGACTGCGATCATCTCCGAATTGTCTGAAAATTGGCATGGAATTTTATTTCGGTGAATAAATAAGAAAACCAAAACCTTAGGACTGTAAGTGGCCCATATTTTCAAGTTCATCTAGTGTAAATTTTTCAGGAAATTGAAAAAACTGAAAAAAACGAGTTTTCGCCCATTGAAATCTAACTGAGAAGTTGTCGACTCAATTGAGATTTTGTTTACATGTGTCATATGATTGATTGTGAAATCAGCTTTTCTCATCAATTCAAATATTGGAATACGTTCATTTATTCATGCATTTATCCTAATCTTTGTTGAACCACTCTTTTAGACCGAAAAATTGGAAACAATAGGAATTGTAAGGCAAATAAAAATGAGAATAATATGTGCTATTAGCATCTGCCAAACAAGGTTTGAAATATTCCAAAGTAATAGAAATGAAGATATATATTTGCAAAGAATGTGGTCTATTGGATATGTAGTATATATATGCAACAGCTGTTCTTTATCAATATTGTTTTGTTATTAAATGTTATCAAGATGTGGATCTTAAACCAGTTTTACGAAAAGACAGAAAAATGACGAAAAAAAAGATGTATTGAAATTCTGGTGATTGAAATATATTAAATTACTCAAGTATTTTAGATAATGCTACTTTTTGACTCTACAATGTTAGAATCGCAACGATTCAATTGCTTTAATTTGCTTAATTCGGCAAGCGAATACTACGAGCAAATACTCAGTGAAAATTCCGAAACGTATCGTATGGAGTAAATGCCAATTTTTTCTCTCTTTTAACACTCATTCGAAGCGAAGAAGAAGAGGAAAACTTTGCATCTTTCCTATGCCGGGAGTCGAACCACGGACCTTCTGATTGCCGGTCAGATACTCTATCCATTGAGCTACACAGACCCCATACGAACATTATTGCAATTTTCATTTGAGCGCATTTTTACCTTGTAAGGTGATTATACCAGGATTTATTTTCTTCCTTTTTAGCACATGAACTGGTGCCGTAAAGTCATACTGAATTACTCAAGTATTTCAGATAATTCTAAAAAGTAGCATTATCTATAATACTTGAGTAATTTAGTATGACTTTACGGCACCGCATATGCTTTACAGCATATGCTAAAAAGGAACAAAATAAATCCTGGTATTGAAAAATATATTGAGTCAACTAATATTCAACTATTGTTTGTAAACAAGTATCCAAAACATAATTCTATAAACAAATATACATCATTTCATATTATGCAACAACAACTTGTTTGCTGTACATTAAATCGAGTTGACTTCCATTTAACATTGGTGCTGCCTTTATTGGTTGAATTTCATTCAATTTATTTCAAACTTCCTATTGTTTACTTTAAACCTCATTTTATTTATTCAACCGTTATTTTTTTCCATATTGAACTTCCATATTTTGTCAATACTCAATGAAATAGTATTTATATTGAACTATAATGACTGGTTTTCTTTTAGAATGAGCGGCACAATTGAATGATAGCATCTGGTTTCTCAACGGAATTCATTCAAATTGCTACGAAACAACACATGACGACAAGCGCATGCGTCAAATGAAGAACAGCTGATTTCGATTGTCAATGTTTTTGTTTGTATTCTCTGTGCGAAGTAAAAAAGAAATAAATTGCTTCGGTGAAGCAATTCACTTCATTTGGAACTGGAATTGACGAATTTTGTTCAATTATGGAGATATTCCAGGTGATTTCTTTGTTTTATTCTTTTATAAATGTGAAATTTTTTTCATTCTAATTTTTAGTATTTGAATCAAAACTTCAAATCCAAAGAAATAGGTACATAAAAATTACATGTTCTTCGTCATTTCAAAAAAAAATTACTAATATTTCGTTTTCTATTATTATCTTTTTATCAGCTATCCTAAGCTGACGGAGGGAAGAATCCATGAATTGCTGTAACACAATTACTCCATTAAGTATACTCAAAATCAAAGAAAAACCCATGAAAATGAGTGTTAAAAGGACTAAAAGATATGAATCACCTCACGAATCAAATGACACGACAATCAAAAGTGATTCCATTGAAGAGATGCATACGGCTCTCTTCCAACTAAACATCGATTGTTTCGAAGCAATTTTTGAGTATTTATCGTTAAAAGATCTGCATTCATTTGGCCAAACGTGCAAAGCAATGCAACAAATGGCCGGTGGCTATTTCCATCGGAATTTTAAATCAGCTGAAAAGTTCAGCGCCAACGATGCCATTTACATGGTCTATTCAAACAATGACGGTGTATCAAATGAACGTATTCAAACGTCCAGTTTCAACCAGTTTATTAATTACATATCACACTACTATGAAGAAATGGAACCACTTCATTACATTCATTCGCATAGTGATGAGTTTACTGCAATCAATCGTATTTATCTTGTGTGCCTTGCAATAAATCCGACCAAAATCGGGTACCTACAGAAAATACTTTCGAAAATAAACGTGGTGCAACTAAGGCAGTGTACATTAATAGGTGATTTCTATGAAACTCTCTTGAGTCATTGTAAGCAATTGAAGCGTCTCTATGTGCAAGATGACCTTGGTGATATCATTGATGAAAGTGGAAATCCTTGGCTACTCCGGCAGTATCCGACACTCGAACTCTTCCAACTCACTCTGCGTTATCCATTCCGAATTTTGGAATTGAGCACGTTTTTTGAACGAAATCCGAATGTTCGCTCTTTTTCGACAAGTTCGCGTTGTCTATGGGAAAATCGGCATGAGCTGTTGAAGTGCAAGGCAGAACTTGACCGTCTGGAAATTGAAATGCTCGACAATTTTTATCGACAACTCATTGATATGCAACTGATTTGTGAGCTGCTGAACCAACTCTATGAGCGTGGATTTTATCAACGATTGCATTTATTCGTGAAACGCGTCGACCAAAAGTGCAGCGAACAATTGGCATCGGTTTATGGTCTCGAGTGTTTATCGATTAGACAGTTTAGTAGAAGCTACAGCTTGCCGCTATTGACCAATTTGAAAGTGCTAACCATTTTGAACGGATCAAATACCAACGATATGGATATTTTAGCAAAAAATCTCGTGAATATCGAACGGATTTGTTTTCAAAACGCAACTCACAGTGATATTTTACCCTTTATTCGTCGCTCAGTCAGATTAAACAAGGTGAAATTTGTGCCTACAGCCAACGAAGCCATTCTCAAATTAGCCAAATTGAATGTAGAACGTGTAAAACTGGCTGGAGCACGCAAAATAACAATTTATGTCCCAGATAACGTTTTCCTGGCAACGAAATGGACTGCCAAAAATGGTGAAATCAACTTGAATATGATTGAAATGAAACGAGCTGACTCATACGAATGGGATCAACATTATTAAACGATATTTTTTGCATTTTTAAATATTATT